ATGATGATCACAGGCTGATCTTAAATTTTTTGACATAGAATGAATCCTTGGACCATTGTAATGTAATCGAAATTCCTCACAAAACCCCTGTTATAATTCAAGTGCTGCAGCTTTATTTGGGTATGTTTCAAGACTTTCAATTAACCTGTCCACATTAATTGGTGTTTTCCCCAGTTCCCTTAGGTCTGGTAGAATACGGGTAATGATAGTAAGTGCTGGGCAAGTTATGTCTTGGACGCTTTGCTCTGGGGACTTGCATTTGTGTTCCTCGGGGACGAAAACGAACGGGGGCAACTGATGATGGGGGAGGAATTTTGTTATTAACCTGCCCATAGTTATTCCCATAATTGCCTGATTGAGTTTGAGGATAAGATGCCCGAGGGCACTGTGACACTGTATGGTTACCTCGACATTTGATGCAAGCATGATTATAAGAACATATTGGGCGCACACAAATCCCTTTATAATTGTAATCAAAGCATGTGTATGATGACATAGAGGGGACTGTGAATGGGGTTTGAATTGTATTTGTTGGACACATAAATCAGCCACAATTCGTTGTCTACATTTCCCCATGGAATTGTTGGAATTAAGGCTACGACGAAGACGAAATTGCTCATCATAGTTTTTGAAACCAAGACACCCGACCCTTGATGCTCCCAACCTAACATCATGCATGTATTTGAATAATCCTTGAACTGAATCAAGGTGAACTGCCGAGTAGATACTGCTATATATAATAAAGGCATCTGTCCATTTTTCAATGCAATCAATTTTAATAGATGGTTTGGTAGTTTCCCTTGTGACAAGTTCCCCCCTTTCATTAATATAGATAGACTTTTCTGAGGGAACAGCATTAGTATTGTGAAGCAGCAAAGCAAGATCTACATAAGCTGAACTTATTATTTTTGATTTGATATTTTGTGACACATTCACTGCCAACTGATGAGTAATACTTCGCATTATTTGAGGTGTACCTTGTGAATCACCCATGGCGTTCTGATCAGACTGTGAGGTACAGGGGGGTGAAGTCACCGACTGTACACAGGCAACTGTCTCGCTAACTTTATTGATTTGCTCGATTACTGGAACCACAGGCTCCTTTTCAATCTCTGCTGGCGCGTCATTGGGTCCTTTACTGGCTTTAGATCTTGTACTGGTTGCTTGCCTTCGCAATGGCGTGTCCTTCGCCCTCTTCGCTTTGACTCGTGGCATTGTGATATTACAAACAAAATAACAATAGCAAATATTACAATTTGAAATAACACAAAAATTTTCATTTATTTTTTCCAAGTATAAAAGCCTTCAAGTATGAAAGCCGCTTTCACTCGAATTTTCTTACATATTTCAATCCCACGAAAATCAAGTCTTAAATACAGCTTAACTTAACCACCGATGCAAATAAATATCACCAATGTGTCGAAAATTATTGTTTAAACAATTATTTTGAATAAAAGAAATAGGACTGATTATTTTTTAAATTATTTGAGAGCTAAAAATGTCTCCTACCTTTCTGTTTGAAGCGCATGTAAAAAAGGATGAGTATATCGAACCCGACTGTGTACACCGATCTCGACCAAAATATTTCCTCGTAAGATAAAGACATCTATATTATATTTATATAGATGCTGTTATAGGAGAAATAAGAATTACAGCTGATTTTATTGCATCTAAAGTTATAAAACATATATCAACTTTAAAAAATATGCGAGAACATGCAATTCAAGATAGCTTTTAAAACCTTCGACTTCATATTTGGTATGCATACTCCACTAATTTAGATCTTGCAAATGGCATCAAAGTCAATGACTTTGTGGCCTTGACTGTGACTTATATGCTAAAATAGCTTTTTCGAACTCTGTTGTGGCCGGATGCATAGTGTTTCACAAACACATTTTGTTTCAAGTTGGAATATCCTTTTATTCATTGCTTTGCGCTAGCACGTAATGGCATCTTCCTGGACTGGGATGCAAAACATTCGGAAAGGTGCTTGGCAGGGACAGCCTTCATGTTTTATTCCATGTTCTACACATCCAAAGACAACAAAGCTGCAGAATTGTAGACTTTATTGTTTTCCATAATATATGTCTTTGACCATAACGCTACAGATCCCGTAATGCAAAAAATGTGTAATTTACGGCGCAAGATATTTTGCGCACTCTTAGAGATAGGAGAAATTCTCTACTTTCCGGCCTTATTGTCAAAGACTAAAATATAAAACCATTGGCTACAGCTCTGCAGCAAAAGACAGAATAGTACCTGCCATCTCTTTTCGTAGGGCATAATTTATGGATTTACGGAATGTCAGCACTGTGATGGGGACTGCTGAAAGCGCTACCTTGTGACGAAGAGCGACAACTCTTAAAAACTTGTGAAATGGAATCGTGTACGAAGGAAAATATCAATTCAGATTAACTTCTGTCTCATTCGTTTCTATCTTTTATTGGGTCAACGATTGAGATGGAATCGTTTGTTTACAAAACGAAGAACAGTTGAAAGTCCCTTTCGAGTATAAAACTTCAAGAAATCAATGTTCATGTGAAAAATGTGGCGAGAGATCTTACGAGATCTTTATCAAGCATATTTATAATTATCTACCATTTTTAAATCCTTTCTCATTTTTCTTGATGTGAAAAATAACATTTTCAGTGTCTGAGATACGTATAATACTAAATAAGGTGTTTTTTTTAACTGAAAATCACATTAAGACAGAATTCAGAGATAAAAACATCATTCCCATTTGACAAAATGCATTTTTGAATTTTTCTTAGATTTATGCCCTCTACAGATACGTATCATTTTAAATAATTTTAATTTGAGATCAATCACTGTTCGTAATTTCACGTCTTCCATAGTATTTTGAAAGTGAAAAAAAAATTACCAGCTCCAGGATCATGAAACAAACTTATGGTTAATGCAAATTTTCGATCGCCTGTAAAATGTTTTTTAATTATTTATTTTATCTCAAAATTTGCAAAACACAGCACCTTTGTGAATTAATATAGAAACTTTATTTTAATTTTGATCCGCTTGACTTCCAATTTCAATTCAATTTCCGAGATTTTCTTCTGTCATAGTCAGCAACACCCGTTTATCTGTTGTATAGTGAAAGGGGTTATAATACGTAAGGGTGTCTGTTTGGATAAATTCTGTCACCTAGCAAAACGCAAACATCAGGGAACGGTAGTTCAGCTCTACCCATTTCAGGAAGATGGGCAGATTGTTTGGCATCGTTGAGGTGACCTTGGAATCCACATTCGATAAATTGAATAGAACCACTATAATCTATTGTTAATAATTATCTGAGCATGGATTTCATGATACCGACTAGTGTTGGGACGATTCAGTGTACAATCGATTCGATTCGGTTTTGATTAAGAATGTCAAGGTTCGGTTTTTTTTCGATTCGGTTCGATTAAACCTAGAATAACCTTAAAAAGTCTAAATATTCCTCATCATAAATGAAAAACAATTAATCTCTACTTTGAACTCCTTTACTTACAGATAACAAATATAAAATTCATAATAGAATAAAATATTCTATAAAGTGTTTGTGCAATAAAAAAAGAATTGGCACAATTATTATAAAATGTATGGAAATCATGAAAACAAATGTCAAAGTGACTGTGTCTGCTGAACACATCTGGGACTAGATAACAGGTTATACAACAGTTCAACAGCTATGGATACTTGTGGTTCTTTTTTAAGAAGACCAGTTTATCCTCTTGCTCCACTGAAAGGCAGGGTCTCTGGGCAGTCATCTGCAGTTGAAAAGATTCGCTCACTGGCAACTGAAGTTGTCGGTACACACAGACAGAGATGCCAACCCTTACGATTTTTGCGCAATTTTACGAAATTACCATCCTAAAATACGCCTTACGATTTCTCTCGATATTCTTTCGATTTCGGTTTTTCTCGATCAAAGTTCATAATACCGGCTGTCTACAGTTTCTAAAATTATTGCAAGCACTCTCGAGCGCTAGCAACTACGTTAGTCCAAATTCCTTGAATACGCAACCTCGGCTTTACGGTCGTGCATTCTGGGAAAACTGTGAAAACTACTACAGATAGACCGCACGATAACAATTTCGATGTATCATGTTGTAGCATTAAATAACCATGCTTATTTATTGTGAAGCTAACACTTTAAAGATAAGTACATATTTGTAATACTTCAAATTTTCCGGGGTTTATTTCCGACGGAAAAGCCCGGGTCATTATCTGATTGTTCTAAACAAAGATAAGGGAGGAATTTTTTTTTTACGTCGAAGCACCATCAAAGATAGACTCTAATTTCTGATTGGTCAACTCAGCCAATCTTACATATCCCAGAAACAAGAATTTACACTAAAAAGCGAAAAAATCCTTCGGAACTCTCTCGATTTCTCTATACAACATACACTTTGAGTTAGTTTCTATATTCCTTTTAACTCCCCTGTATTTTCTTTGCTACAAGGCCAAGAAAGTCTATTCATAAACCTCATACAATGCCTCAATCGGCATCTTCTCCATATTATATAGAGCCCCCCCCCCCCCCCCCCCCCTCTCCAGTAAGGTCATAAATGTTCCGATGCGCCAAAACTCCAATAGGTCAACACAACCCCAACCCCCCTCGTTTCATTACCTATGTGTCTATAAAATACACTTCACAAAACAATTATTACTTTATCACTCTCCAGCCTCGATAAAACTTAAAGAATTCAGCAAAATAAATCACTAGATCACGGATCCTCCTTTCTGTGTTTAAAAATTGCTACGGCGCTAGCTCACCTATCTTTTTTAAAAGATAAACTTGTAATTAAATATTCAAACTCCTTACGATGCTTGCTTGTGTTGTTGTTTCGGTTTGAGAAGGACGATCGTATTCATGTCAATGTTCTAAAGTAAACAAAACAGAAACATGCCTCAAATTGTTCCGATTACATGTCAATTTACAAAATATCTTCAGCGGCTTTGGGCTTAGACGATCCCCGGACCCCGCCTTACTATGTCATTTCAGAATGTTGGCAGCTCTGCACAGGTAATGTTTGGCAAGGTTTGAGAGCAAAAGATAGCTTGTTTGGTTCCTTTCCACCAATCCAGAGGTTCGGATTCTATGGGTATACTATCTTCTGATTTATAACCAGTATTAAGTTCTCGTTCAAATCGGATTGTAAATGATTTTGTTGGCTCAACTTTGGTAACAAAAACTTCCCCAAATAAATCTAACATTGCTGATTTTTTGTTCTTTTTGGATAGATGTTCCTGAAGGATATGGAGATAACGAACAATATTCAATCTCAAAGTCCATAAAACAATACAAAATAAGAGCAGAGCAAACACGGACCTCCGAAACATCAGAGGTGGGATCAGGTGCCATGGAGGAGTGAGCATCCTCTGCCGACCGGTCACACCCGTCGTGTGCTCCTTGTCATGATCAGGAAATAACGGGAAAATCCGTCGTCAATTCAGTGTATAAATAATGGACTTACAATTGGTATGAAAAACGTCAGTCAGCATTTGACTCAATGATAAATTGTATTTGTTGTCAAGGTCATTGTATCGACAATAGAACTTACGAAATGATGACTTTAAACACGACTGTTGATACTCTTGTTTCATCAACTTGCTTGTCAATAATTTACCTCGTTTTAGAAATTGTTCATACGTAGAGCATGCTCTTGCGTATCGAATCAACTGAGATATATACACTCCGTATGCAGGTGATGAAGGAATATTGCTGCATAAGTAAGGAAAGTTGGTGATAGAAAAGAATGAGATCATTGGACAGGTCTGCAGGTAAATCAACAGAAAAAGATGTAGATGTGGAAAGGGATGGTTAGGCAGTTTTGTCCTTCAAAAGCGTTTGATGTGTGTGTGTGTGTGTTGTTGGGGGGGGGGGGGGGGTCGGTCAGCTCTCTCTTTTTCCATCTTTACTTTTTACACCCTAATATATAGTTTGAAAATAATACACATGTTCATAAACTGAAAAAAATTGAATGTTATTCGTCTGTCCTTCAATATGATTATGTTATATAACATAACAATTTGTGTTGTAATAGTACAATGCATTCTAAATCTGAATTAGGTAAATTAACTTATAATTCTAATTCTCGAATAACTGATTTACCTTCACTTTGCTTGATAGGGAAATGAATATCATCGTCGCAAACCACGGCCAAAATGTACGATCCCATTCTGGCCGTGGTTGAACGAGGAGAGAATTATTCGTAGCTCATTAAAATATTTACAATGCCCTCCGCGAGTAAAGCATAGTCGGATGATGAACTTTATCGCGACTTTTCAATATCCAATCGCAGTATAAGAAATATGCTTTGTATACTGTTGATGTCAATTGTTGCGATGGAAACAAAACTTCCCACTGACTGAATATGACGTCACAATAGATAGGTGTGAATATATAAGATTACGACACTTTTTGTGATCAAGCAGCCACGGGGAGAAGAGAGCTTTATGCGGAATCCAGGCCACACCGCCATAAAAATTTCTCAACTCAAGTCTTGAGAATTACTCAGCTAAAAATAATCTTAAATTCGCTGCCATAAAATGATTTGAGACTATTCTCTGCTGAGTAAATCTCAAGACTTGAGAAATTTCTCATGAACTTTTTCTCACGAGAATGTTTTCGCGGATTGTTTTCGCTGATTGAAGCGGCCTAGAGGAGCTTTTTTTTTGTCAAAAGGTAAGAAACCACATTGGTTGCATGTAAATAACCCCTATCGTCATAAATCGTCTGCTTTTTAAGATCAATTTTGGAGGGGATCAAACGTCAAGAGAAACGCTCACAAAACTGGGGGGATGACGAGGAAGTTTATACCTTAATCGAAGAAGTGAAATCGAGATCAGGTCGTTTCTACATTTAATTCGAATTTTCTCTGTCTTTTGCTTGTATATTCTGCATTGTTCAGGAATTTATATTTGCAAATATCCATATACTGCAGCTTTGTATTTTTCCTATGCATATCACTATTCTAAAACTGAATGATGGCGCAGCTGTAAGTTATAAGTCAAAAATGGCGATTCAAAATGGCGGATATTCATTTTTTCAAATTATTTCTTAATGTTTAAATAGGAGAAAGGATTTGTGAATATCTTACTGAGCGTAGTACAACTATGAAAATGACAATAGAGCACTGATATTATCACTTTAATTAGGAAAAATTGATCATATAAATTTGAAATGTGTTAATTAGCTCAAAATGGCGATTCAAAATGACGTACACTCGAATTTCGTAAAATATTCCCACTGCTTAATTCTAGCTGAGTTGTTTTGCACAAAATAAATTTATTACAGTTTGTTTTGTTTTTTTTTTAAATTAAAGAAATAATGAATAAATGTTCTGTTAAAGTTGGAGGAAACTGTTGTTAATGACATGATTTTTATGACACGGTCTTAATTACTTTTTTTTATTAAGATAAACCTTTGACAAATTTTTTCCTCTGCATTTCACTATTCTACAACTGAATGATGGTATAGCTGTAACTTACCATTCAAATTTATTTTCGGATAAATCTCCGCAATGGCCCATTCATAAGTTTGCAGAAAACAACCAAGAAGATCCATCCCATCGGTTTGGTCTTAGTAAAGTGAGGCTACTACTACTTATGCCGTATCTTAATACATGTATTACGTATTGCCTGGCATTGTGCTCGCTTTGCATGCATATAAAAAGAATGGGAAGCGTACATGTAATTTCTAAATAATGTTTGATGCACGTAAGTGGACACTGTGTATTTGTTACGCAGCTTAAAGACGAGGTTTTCTTTTGGGATCAGTTAATTTTCCCTCTCCTCAATCTTCTATTGACACGTATTACAATGAGTGAACTATATTCAATATATATTATTTTCTGAAGCTATGGAAAAGACAGATTTATCACCGAAACAATTTAAAAGGAATAATTGCAGGCCTTAGAAAGGTTCCATTTGCATTCTACAGGTGTCTATCTCTAGAAAGAATAAGCAATGGCACATCGATATATGTTATGCTAGTATGATAGCTAGAGGTGCAAGAGAGTACTCAGAAACAGTATGAGAGCACTACTTGGAGAACTAAAGACTAATTCTTCACTAATCGAAGAATGACTTAACCAATATCATCACATTCCAGTCCATCTTCAACCATCCAATCATCCCTTCCCCTCCCTCCCTTCCACAAACAGCAAACAGTAACAATGTCTTTCATAATGGTTGATGGCAGTAGAAAGGGTATTGTTTTTTTTCTCAAGGTAAAGCAACGTTAATAGGCAGAGGAATTTCTCTTGGTGTTCTTTTCTTCTGAGTTTAGCCGATTATATTGATAAGTTCATTTTATCAACAACAAAAAAATACTGGCAAAGTTTTATTTTATCTGGAAATAGTTAAAACAAACTAGACTTAAGAGTTTCCCAATGTTTTCCTCATATTTGACCGTGTTCCAAACCCCTTTCCACCTCAAAGCACTCCTGAATCGCTGTCATTATCAATTCGCACTTCCACTTCAACATCCCACATCACACCATCGAACATAACCGATTTCATCGAACCCTTTGTATTAGTTTTTGAAATTAGCAATTGTAAGAGCTAAGTAATACCCCCAACATCTTCTATTAAAGCTTTAAATGCTATATGTTTCAGTCTGTCTTCGGAATTTTTGTCTTGTCAACACTCAAGGTACTACACCTTTATGTTCAAATGTTAAATGTTTATTCTCTGTGTGAATATCTCACTGAGATTTAAATTCTGATGTTAAAGACATTTCTATTTCGTGTCCATATAGATTTGTTGTCTTTTTTGGTAGAAAGGTCATTCTATTAGCAAGAAAATTCTCAAACTTTATCATCTGGAATCACATTGTGTGCATATTTTGATGAGAAAATGTGAATGGTTTTGCAATTTAAGAGCACCTGCAGATTCCTCGTGATTTCTATCACGTACAAGCTTTCGTACCAATAGGCCTAAACCATTAATTCTTGACTTCGATCTAGTCAACACTTCTTTTGACAACTCCCGTGGGGATCCGGGTAAGAATAGGTCCTCAGTACCCCCTTGCTTGTCGTAAAAGGCGACTAAATGGGGCGGTCCTTCGGATGAGACCGTATAAACCGAGGCCCCGTGTCACAGCAGATAAAGATCCCTCCCAGCTCAAAGGCCGTAAGTGCCGAGCATAGGCCTAAATTTGCAGCCCTTCACCGGCAATGGTGACGTCTCCATATCAGTGAAATATTCTGGAGAGGGACGTTAAACAGTATACAATCAATCAATCAATCTTTTGACAACAAAATTTTCTTGAACACTCCAAGAACTTTACAAGGCAGCTTGAGCCACACTTCTTTGTTAGGATAGTGAAAAGTTGTATCAAGAATCGAAGGGGTGTGTGAACAAATTTTCCTCTTTCCGATTTTGTGACACGATAGCGGTGTTTTTCTTTGAAGTTTACTGTTCTGTATTAGCAATACAGAACGGGACTGTGGTGGGCGGAGCTACTTTCCGTTCTGTATTAGCCCTGTATTCTGCCAACTATTCTGTATCTAAAATACAGCACGGTCTAAAAGTAAATCTGATTCAATTTAGCAAAGCTAGCACGTACACATAATAAATACTGATGTTTTCCTATAATTAATTTTTAAGAAATACCCGGTATTTTCCTGAGAATGTAGAATGTCAAAATTTCTCAATCAATTTCTAAAAACTTATTCCACACAGAATCTACACGTAATTTCGATCGAAAGTAAAAAAAAAATCGCAATAACGGAAAACATCCTCTGTACCTAATTTTGAACAATCCACACGAAACGGAAAATTCGCTATCACGGAAAAAATCCTTCTCGCTGACGACAGCCACACGTCTCTTTCCCTTAGTTTTTAATGTCGCAATTCAATTTGAAAATGAAAATCCCTGACATCAAAGTCCATCGAAGAATTTTCTGTAAATCCTGTTTTTGTAAATCTAGTTAAACCGGGATTTTAAGACCCCTGAAATAAATTATGATAAATCTCCATCTACAATTATAACAACAGATCACATCAATTACGGTTAAATCCTCCAATTCATCCATTAAGACTAACTATCACTCGATTACGTCTACCCCGTTAAATTGTCAAAACAAATCTGACCGAATTTTACGTTTTCCGTGGAAATATATATACTGAGGATGCGTACTCCCCGTCTGGGCCTCATCTACAGTGGATGCTGCAAAGTTATAAAGTGGGCGGAGCTATTTTTGATTGATCGTGTCACAAATCATTTAGAGAACTCGACAGGTTCTGTGTCGTAGATACAAATTTGGGGGCGGAGACTCGTGCTTTCGCACTCGTCTGCCCCCAAATTTGTATCTACGATACAGAACCTGTCGAGTTCTCTAAATAATACTTGTATATTTTAAAATTTAAATACAATGTTCAATACATGATTATCCGTTCACAACATGAAATATTTGAGAATACAGTTGAATGTTTTGATGGAGAATAACAAAATGCAAATGCAGGGACACAGAGTCAGAGCTGCACAATCAAGAACATTTATAGTTTATATATATTATACTGGTTATATTATATTATACTGGTATAAACCTTTATGCTCGGGGAATACTGCTCTTGGGATAGCTTGATTGGTATATTGTCCTCTAAACATCAATTATTGTAACTATGATGTTATTAACTTTTTACATGAAGAAGCAAGGTGAGACATGTAATAGGTAAAATGTCTTCGAAACTGTGGTCAAAAGTTTATCTTAGTACTAGAAGTAATTAAACAAAGTCCCGTGTCATAAAAATCATAAGTCATTAAAAACAATTTCATCCAACTTTAATTGAACATTTGAACATTATCTTATTAATTTAAAAAAGCAGTAATAAATTTATTTTGTGCAAAACGACTAAGAATTAAGCAGTGTGAGTATTTTACGAAATTCGAGTGTTCGTCATTTTGAATCGCCATTTTTAGCTAATTAACACATTTCAAATTTAAATGATCAATTTTTCCGAATTAAAGTGATAATATTAGTGCTCTGTTGTCATTTTCATAGTTGTACTACGCTCAGTAAGATATTCACAAATCCTTTCTCCTATTTAAACATTAAGAAATAATTTGAAAAAATGAATATCCGCCATTTTGAATCGCCAATTTTGACTTATAACTTACAGCTGCACCACCATTCAATTGTAGAATAGTGATATGCAAAGGAAAAAATACAAATCTGCAGTATATGGATATTTGCAAATGTAAAATCCTGAATAAAGCAGAATATACAAGCAAAAGACAAATAAATCAGAGAAAATTCGAATTAAATGTGGAAACGACTAAATTTTCTTGAGTCAAAGTAAAAATGTTAGCATTCTTTTATCATTTTTATTGTTGCAATACACTCAGTGAGATATTCACACATTTATTTCCCCTTTGAACATTAAGAGAAAATTAGAAAAATTGGACTTTGAATCGCCATTTTGACCTATTTAACGCCAATTTCATGAAAGCCAGCATATTTTTTCGGATTCAGCATACTCGAAATAGGTGGAAAAAAACTATGCTGGACCAAATAATAATTATTTCCGTTAGAAGTATTTTTTTCTATAAATCTGACCAGACTATTGTTTGGGTTGATGAGAGGGAGCGGGGCTAAAAGAAGACTTCGTGAAAAGGAATGGCAAATGATTGCTGATAAACTCAATTAGTTAGTGCAGACTTAATATTATGCTTTTTTGAAATTCAGTTGTAACATTATATTCAAATAGATATCATTTTGGAAGTACAGTTAAGTGCACGTTGCCTGTATCTATCGCAACATCGCTCATGTTTTTGTAGATAACTTAAACAATGCAACGTACCTGCTATTCTGCGGAACCCTTCCATGACTTTGGCGACCCTTTCTCCTGCTGGATAGTTTATAAAATGTCGAAATATCTGGACAATGGCCCCTGCCACGTCTTTAACAATGCGCCCAACGGAAGACTCGGAGATGTTGAGGCTGTCCCCCACAAGTCTTAAATGTGCCCCCGTGGCAATAAAACGGAGAAATACTAGCACTTGCAATAGAGGGGGGATTGCTTGATTCCTCCCTGTGTCTCTGCTCAGTGTATTACTCAAGCCGTTTGTGATGAAAATGATGGATGCAGGCCGAAATCTATACCGTTGATAGACCTCATCTTCTTCAAGACTTTCTAGAGGATTAAGTCTATCTCGAAATACCCGTGGGCGAGGCAGAATGAAGCGTCTTCTATTTCTACGCAGAACTCTATGTGCAGTAGCCATATTGTTCCTTGAGAATATTCTTAAGTAACCTTTTTTGTGTACTCAAATAAATGACAATAATATGAATAAAACTAAATTTGAGATTTTTTTTTTACTCAAATGTTTTATGGCGGTGGCTGAGTCTCAGAATTGGGGAGTTGAGAAAATTCTCAGACTTGAGAATGTTTTATGGCGGTGGGACCTGGCCGTGGCTTGAGACGATGAAGGAATATATGATCATGTTTTTCATTGTCACTGCTGTATGGCATGGTCTTGAATCGAGGATCAAGAAAGGAACTTTCCAGAAGAAACTGGAGTGTCTCTGACTCTTTGTACCTTAAATTATTTAATGTACAAGTATAATAATTTTTAAGTTTAAAAAGTTTTTAATTAGTATTTAAACAGTTTTACATTTGCTATTTTTAAAAAATATTGTTACTTTGTAAGTAAGGTTAATGTAGTGTCCACGAATCAGTTTACGTATGACTTGTTTTGTAGTTTACCGGATATTTCCGGGTTTGCGGTTTCGTTTTGTGTATTAGATTTGTTCTCCATGCTGGCGTTTGATGCAGCGCATGTTTGCAGCAACAACTTAAATATTTTGTATTTGTCCATCCGGCCAAGAGCACATTGTAAGTTTATATGTTTGCAAATGTTTAATATGATTATAGTACAGTGGACCCTCATTTATCCGGACGCTTTGGTTCCCAGTAAATTTGTCGGGATATGTGAAGCATCCGGAAATCTGAATCACCAGTTAAACAAGACAAAATAACATTTTAAAATTTCGTTCCGACGAAAAATCGTCCGGATACTGAAGCATCCGGATATCTGAAGGTCCACTGTATTTGATTTTGCTTAAATGTCGGCATAGGTCTCATACACTGATTTTGTGTATTTTCTAGTCATGTCTAAAAAAAAAGCAGATACCGCCAAATTTGTAGTGTACGATTTTGCATTGATATATTTGCATAGTTTGCTCAATGAGATATTATGAGATATTGCGAGATATTATGAGATACTATTACTATGAATTTAAGTGGAATTTAGTCTAAATCTATTCCTGTAATTTTCAAAATGTATGTAAATCAGATTAATGGCAATTTATTGGTAATCTAGTCAGTATGATTGTTGCATGTATGATTGTCTGTTATTTGATTACATTTTAAGTACAAATTCATTTTTGTATGTTTCAGCCTTTCACCACGTTCTTCAATAAACTTGAAACACAGTTTGATTGGGTGGTTTATCTGCTTACACGCAGTGATAGTTAATATCTATTTATGTAATATTTACCTTGGTTCCAAGTTGCAAGTAATTGCTGCTCTGACAGATTTAATCAAACAACTGTCATCATCCTTTACTTTTAGTTGCCTCAACAACATTTCTTTCAGTGGATGGATGAGTGACGTTGTACGAGACTTCTCATTACAAAGCGGAGTTGTTACAGTTTTGATGGGTTCGAAGATTCTAAGAACACAAACAGCAATAGCAATTAGAACTAGAAAGTCTGCTGTTGCAAGTAATAGCGTATGTCGCCCCGAACTGGACAAGACTTTCATTTTTTGTATCACTAAGACAATACTCATTAGCTAAGCTTGGATAACCATCTCTTCGTATCAGTCCTTTGTTTTAAAAATCAAAGTTCAAGAATTTACACTTTCCCCTGGTTTCTATGGCAATAATCGATAATTTGAAAATTTAAAATGCGAATCGCACAACTATAGTTACTTATCACTAGTATAAAAAAAAGCTTCAAGACGAATGCTCAAGGCACCAGAGAGAACACTCGCAGACAAAGTTCGTCGCTTTTTGCAGGTTTCCATGGCAATGGTAGCCATTTTGAAACTGAATGACCACACAACACAACTACAACTGGTGGTCGTCCTTTGAGGAAAGTTTCAGGAAGATTGTCCCAGCCATCTCTGAGAAACAGCCTGGATAACAAATACATGCGTACAAACGCAATATGTCGCCCGACTTCGTTCGCGGGCGACATTATTAGTTATCCAGGTTCATTCAAGGGTGTACGGGGATTTACCCCGGGTTGTATTCCATACACCCTGAGGCCGAATCAAGGGTGTACGGGGATTTATCCCGAGTTGTATTCCATACACCCTGAGGCCGAAAACCTCAGGGTGTATGGAATACAACCCGGGGTAAATCCCCGTACACCCTTGATTGAACCTGGATAATGAATTTATTTCCTTTGTACCCATAAAAATGCTTTGTAAACATCAGAGAGTGTCTCAATCTATCGATTAGATATATAAACTACGTTCTACAATGCATCGTGACGTCATGTTATTTGGTTTTTATCATAGAGAATATATGTATTGTGACGTCACGTTTTATTTACACCCGGCTCAAGTCGGGTGCACGGATATTTACACCCGACTTTGTAACCAATCAAAGATCGTATTACAAGCTAGATAGGAAATAAAATAATTTGCACCCTTTTTGAATGAACAAGCTAATTCAGAGAATTTGTGTCCCCCGCTTAGGGAAAAAGTAAACCATGCGCAGTTCGGGGGAGGGGAGGGGGTGGGGGTCGGATCCCCTTGACTGAATTTGTAGAACTATTGCATGAATACAGGTATACTGAAGCAAATAAAATATGCCAGTGTGGATATAAAGGTTTGATTGCTTATTCTTTATTATGTGTATAGAAGATTCTGGAAT